ATGCGTCAGGGGGGAATCGAACCCCCGTCGATTGCTTGGAAGGCAACCATGCTGACCATTACACCACTGACGCATCACGGGACCTGCAATCGTTATCTTCGACACTGTGTTCTTTATTTAAATCTGTAAATCTTCTTTCAAATTTCTCTCTGCCTGTTCTGAGTTGTTTATTCCATAATTTAATTTGTTGTAATCAAATTTAACTGAGTTTTTTTTCTCTGGATCATTCATTCAAAATATTTAAATTAACCAAAAATTGAATCTATCATGTAGAAATTTTAAATATTTGATTAAATAATTGCAATCCAGGATGTACGTATTGGTATTAGCAGACATCGTGACAAGTAGGAATAAATGCAGGATTCGTTACGAACGTTTAGATCATGATATTTTTCTTGACTATTTTTGCTTATAATAAATTATCGATTTCATGGCATTATGATGATTACACTTCCTATTTTTTGAATTAATTAAGACATTTATGTGTCCAACCCACTAATGCGTCATTTATATTTCAATTATTGTACTAACAGAAAGATTATTTTAACGCGTGCTTCCTTTCGCGTAACAATCCATTATGCAAATTTCCTTTCCTTCTAAAATTCTCTTTTTTTTTTTTTTTTGTTCATCGTTTATAACAAATCGTCAATTATATTTAAATAGCAATGAGAAAAGAAATAATCTGTGTAGGAGATGCCAATATGTTTTTTAGCACAGTGTTTTTTTCTCTTTAAAATCTAAATTTTTCATAGATTGGTCTAAAACAACGAAATTCTTCAAATGATGATTATCGATCAGTTGATAATTGAAAGTCTTGAAATCAGTTATTGCTGGAGATTTGAAAAAATCAAAAATGTCAGTGTATAATAAAAGTAATGAATTTTGTTAAAAGTTTCCCGTACAGCACCAAATAATCTATTATTTCTGAACAGTTTCGCAAAACTTTTGAAAATCCGCAGAAATAGAAATAAATTGTTATTTGACTCCTATATGTTAATATGATTTTATGTGTAAAAAAGAAGCAAAGATGAAAAAAAAGTAAGTTCTACGTTTAATTGATAAGTCTAACAAATTTGGTCGGTTGTTTATGCAAATCATTTAAATAATTCTTGTCTTGTCAATTCCAGATGTAATATCGACAGCACCAAATTATAGGATTAGCGAGAATGTAGAAATAAATGTTGATATGTAAATGATAAAAGGTCATGTGCATCCAAAATGCTGATACGTAAATGATAATAATTTACGAAGAAATATTATGTCATGCTGATAAATGTTATCATTGTTTTGTATGCTGAGAAATTAAGGGAACAATATATTCTACACCAGACAATATCACTACGATTGCGAATATGAGATGGTGGAAAAGCAATGTGAAGATAATAATGATCGATTGTAAGTTCATTCAGCTTTCACAGGTAGGATCACTTCACCAGCCTGTGCTCCGGCTTTAAATGGTGCCTGAGGATCATCTTCTTCATCCGGTACCTCAGCCCATTGCACCACAAATTTATCTTCTTTTGGTGGTCCTTGCAGGCGCATTATTGTTAATTCAGTTTTATCACCTTTTGAAACAAATCCATACACTGGTGTAACACGATAATGATCATTGTTCGTCGATTTTACCTGTATTTTTTAATGAATCTTAAAGGTAAGCTTTTATAATCAATCCTACTTCATTTGATTATTTAATAAAAAAGGAAATATTTCAAAATTGATTGAAGAATTAAAGTGAGAATGAGAAATTAAAGGGTATATTTATTATTAATTATTCAATTATTACAAGTATCAATTGTATCAATTATTACAAGAGATTTTTCTTTCCATTATACTCAACGTTAATTAATCTTATGCTCAATCATGCTTTAATTGAAATGATCTAATCAATCAATTATTAAATCTTGCTAATGCTAAATTTTTTTCAGATGATATTATGTGCATTGCTGATTAACCTGATCGTTTCTTTCCTAATGGTTACTAGTCTTAAGATCTAACATTTATTTAGTTTGAATTTTATTTCTTGAACCAATACTTATAAATATTTACGAAATCAAAGCCTTTAATTATACATTAGAAATCGATAATCTAAAATATGAATTGACAAAAATATTACTTTAAAACCCAGACGGCCCTCTGTTTGATTGAGAATATGAACAGTTGTACTGCCGCCAGCAGCAGGAAAAGTAACTTCAGGTGGGTCAATATTAAGTGCCATGCTCTATTCTTCCTTAAGCTTTTCCGTCCTGTAAAAGAAATTACAAAATGAGCGTTGTAAATACTTGCCAGCTAAATGGGTACAATGAGAAAATTCAAAATGATGGTTACATTTATTTAGAATTCTTTTATACAAATCTGCTTAAATTGGTTTATGAGTCATCGTTTAGCATTTTTCGATATGCAATATTGGTTGTTCATTTCAAAAATTTGAACACTTTCAGCAAAATTATCTGAGCAATCTCATTTAAATCGATGGAGATGTTAAAAATTTTTAAAAGTTTTTCAAATTCTCTCTAAATGATATATATTTCTTTCTCATCAGTACTTATCACAAATCTTAATTTTAACAAGTAAGATTGTATCATCTTGATGATATTCAGGAAATTTATGACTTCTGATAGCTAGTACTGTTACATTATTTGTAACAGTTAGTTAACTAAGATAAAAACTTCTTCACACAAAATAAGAATGTATTACGTTCAATATCTAGAAGGGTAAAATATATGTCAATTCAAAGTTGAAAGTTCAGGAAGAAAAGTTGTTCCAACTGAATTCAGTCAAGATATCTGTAGCAGAATTAGCTAATGATACATAGAAATCTTGCCGAAGAAAAAAAAATCAAAGGAATGATTTTAAATAATAATAGAATTATTTGATTACAGAAAGGCAAACAAATATCAATCTATCATTGGTATTTCTATCATTTCATTTCCTAATTTTTAACATTATGTGAAATTGACCCGATAGTAGCGAAATATTATTTCTCCTTTGCTAAAAGATAATAGAGAATACTGTTGGAAGATTGTTAGAAGATAATCAAGTAAAAATGAAGCAAACCATAAGAAGCTAATTGTCACAAAAACAGAATAAAATGTGAAATCTAAATCTGCGGTTGAATATTTTAATATAATATCATCGTCCTCTCACACTTATCCATCTACCTTCCTAATCCTTTCTTCTACTTCAGCAACATTCCGATATCTCTCAAAAGATACGACTAATTCTTCTGGACAATTTATCATTTGAAAAATATCGTTCAACAAGCACGCTGCTTTATTCACTATGATATATCAGAAGAAAATGATAAAAAATTGAATTAGTCTATTATATAAATACTCATTTTCAATTTGAACATCGTTAACTTTAAGTTGATTAAATTAGCTTTTGAATAAGCATTTGAATTACATGAATTCAAAAAAGTAAATATCTGCATGCATGCAGGATATTTACTTTGTTGGGATAAAATTGAATTGGAAAATTGATGTTAATTAGAAGCTTTTCGCTTTTTTTGAAAACTAATATAATGAGAGCATTTACATAATTATTTATTGCGTAATTTTTTATTGCTAATAACAGGTTGAATTGATTCTATCCTTATTGTTAAAATTATTCATCCGAGCTATAAGTGAATATCAAATCGCAACAACAATTTTTTCTCTCAGTTTAATTTTATTTTCCACTTGATTTAATGATATAAATTAAACATAATGGTTTACAATATGTTTTAATTCATCGTTTGACTAAATTTTCAATTTTGCATTTATTAAAACGGAAAAAAGTTTGCCTTTGCTAATGTAATGTCTGTATTCTTTGCAAGCATCAAAAAAAAAGCATAACTTAACTTTTCCAGCTGCATACCATTTTATCTTTTTAACACTAATTTTTCTATTCATTTTTTTCCATTTTCGTTAAATGATTAATGTAATTTTAATTGTTTAAAAATTATTTTGTTAAAATTAAAATTATCTCGATAAATGAATGAAGAGTTTATTTTATCGAGTAAATATTGCCCATTTAATAATATTTCATTTTTTTCTCTTTAAACTATAATTTTTATTTAGCACTAACAATTATTCTATTCAATTATGGGTTATCATTCCAGAATATGCTTATTTCCGATAAAGGTTAGCATAATGACTTCATATAATCAATCATGATCATATTATAATAGACATCATAACATAAAATGACCACTATGATTCATTTTAATCCGGTAGTATATATATAACGGAAGAAAAAAAAACGGCCACTTATCTGATTTCCTAAAATTATAGTGGACATAAACGAAAAGGAATGGCTACTGATGTCCCCCTTGCATTTTTTTTTTTTTTTGATAATCTAATAGCATTGAGAAATGAATACCAGATGAAATTGTCCTGGAACATATTTTTGATTACAACCCTCATATTTTTACTCAAAGTAATATTTGCAAAACATATGTTAATTATGTTGCAGATATGTATGTACATTATGTCGGGAATGAATATTGTCTTGGCGATTGTCTTATTGTTACTCTCTCTAATGCAGAAAAGTCAAGGTGTGCATGCCATTGTAGACTATTTATGTTTCATCATATTCATCCTCATTGCCATTTTGGCAATTTTATCCGCAACAAAGGAGAATCTTATCTGGTCCTTACTTGGAGCAGCGGTAATTTTTTCATTTAACTTTAATCTAATATTTTCATTTTTATAACAATTTCATCATTTAAAAATTCTTTCCAAAACTTTTAAGTCCCACTTCTTCCTAACCGAAAAATTTTCTCACCCCGAGTTTTATTTTTGCTTGAATTTCATACATACACTCAATATAACAGTATCATTTACCATTATTATCATTATTATCATTATCATCATTACTATTATTATTATTATTACCATTATTGTTATTATTATTATTTTTATTAATGGTAATTTCAGATAACTATTTTAGTTTTACTATTCATTGCACTCGTATATCATCTCTTTTATTGTTACACAAATCGAGTTGATAGTAAGTTTTTGACCTTAGTTATTTATGTGAAAAATATGCTAATTATAAGGGATGTAAGAAATATTGTAAAAAATAATGGAAAAGGAGAAATAATTAAAACAAATCATTTTATGCATTTTCAGTAAGCATGTTAATATATTAGCATAAAGCATAAATTTGGATAAAAATAATAACATGAACAAAGGTTGAGCTAAATTTTTAAATATAAAAAACTAGCAAGTTAACGAATTAAGTAAAGAGAATATGAAATAGTGTTAAACATTTCTTTTAATTCTTCATATTCTATTCTTTCAATTTTATTTCTCTGATAAATGTGTATATATCATAAAGTAATGGTTAACGATTCACTTGTAAATGTAATTTTCAGTATTCGAAGTTGCCGGTTCAGCACTAATTTATTTAGCCATAATGACCGTTTCCGGATTTTGCACTTTTATTGCAATCCGTTGGCGAACATTTGTTAATTTTCGAAAGAAAGTTAACAAGCAACGAATGAATGCATCAAAAGGATCAAAAGCTTTATTGGAACAGGAAGAACGAAGAAAGTAAAGTGAAATAATATCAGAAAAAAAGATGCCGACCATTATGGCATCATTATAATTGATCATTATATGCAAATACAAACGATCGAATATAAATCCATTAATGGTATTAATTAAAATTTCATATAAAATATTATAGTTGGATTTTTGTTAACGTTTTAATTCATTGCTATATTGCTATCATTGTTAGCACTTACATTAGGATATTTATTCGTACTCGATAATTATTCCTTGATAATCGGAAAGACTCATATTTCTATCAAAGATATCAGATTGTCAACTAAGGATGGTAGTGATTTAAAAAAAAAAAAAAGTTAATGATCAACTATGATCAATTAGCGAAAAGAAAAGGAGAAAATTCGAAAGATGCCAAGTTATTTTGATTTATATTCAATTCAGATCATCAAAATCTTTTGTATTATTGTATCATTTTTTTGTCTGAGCAAATAGAAATCAAACATTCTTGCATGTAAAACCCGAATTCATAAAAATATAAAGGTAAAATTAAAGCTCCGCGACTTTTAAGAACTCGATCATTTTCGAATAATGCTATTAATTAATTATAACTAATTACTAACCTGTATAATGATCGTTAGCTTCACGAAATTAATTCACTCAAAAAGTTAGTCTAATTTGACAAAACAATGACTTTTGTATCAATAATTTAACTGTTATTTAATCATTTTGCAAATTTTAGCTGTGATAAAACAAAATTTAAAGCCTCGCAGCATCACAAAATGTATATCACATATAAAATGAACTCAGTTTTTACTGGCACGAAATATAGTGTGAAGTGAAATAAAGCACCAATAATAAAAAGCTTTCAGAATATTTATGAGGAATTAATATTCAAGAAAGAATTGATCATCCATTTTCCTTTCTCATCTATAAAGTGCCAGTTTGTATAGACGTCTCATAGTTAAGACTTAGGCTCTAATTATAAGTTTGGCCTTTTTAAAGAAACTTCTATGGAATTTTATACTATTATTAATTAGCAAAAGTAAGTAAACTCATAAATTCGATTAATATGAAAGCCTTTTATGAATGTATTTGAAATTATAGTTAAGACTTAGGTCCTAGTACCATTATCTTTTATATTATCAAATGATAAGATATAAAATACGAAAAAAAATGCTTACATTAGAGATTTCAATAAAGTTAGGAATGAGGAAGAATTAGTATAATATTATATAAAATGCGCATTTTAATTAAAGAGCATTTTCCTACAGCTCCACAATTACATTTAATTTCATTCTTCTTGCTTGAGTAAGCTAAATCTGACAGTAATATGAGTTAAGCTGATATGATTTCACTGGAATAATTGCGGTTGTCTAATGTATCGAACAGTGAACCGGGCTATTTTTCCATTTGGATGATAGATGATGTAGATTTGATTCCCTTCTGATATCGAATCTTCCTTTGGTCGATAGCAACAACTGTAATTATCGATAATTTTACAGGAAGAAGTAATTGGAGAAGATATCTTATCAGATGCAAATGTCATTCGATTATCAAAATAAGAAATCAAAAAAAGATGCATTGAAATTATGTTCCTTCCCCTGTGATTTGATCATATTTGTGCTATCATAAAAATAAATAAATTTGGAAATTTAAAAGCATACCTTCGGAAACCAGTTAACCTGACGTCAAGTTTATGCTTAATTTCCACGTATGATTGACACCCGTATGAGCATGGAAATTCTCCGTCACTGAGACGAAAACGTATTCGATTTCCAATCGGAGCCTGAAATAATCCAATACAATTTATTGGAAATGAAAAAATAAGAATGGATGTTTTTTTTTTCTTTTTTGAATAAAGAGAGTAGAAAGAATAACAAAAAGCATACAGAAGGATAAACAGAGAGAATGATAATTGATGATTGGATAATGATAACAAATAAAATTATTTATGGAAAATTATATTCATCAAGAAGAATTTTTAAAAGTTATCAATACATTAAACAAATGTATCATATTGATATTATTAATTTTGCTACCGCATTCAATCGAGAATTCATATTTGCTAACCGATATCCTCCAGTAGCAATCAGTATTTCCACCTTTTGGGCTGCTTAATGTTTGCCACTTATCTGTTGCATGTAATTCAGTGCCACATGCTGGAAAATTTTTTCAGGATCAAATTTACAATAGTAATTTTTGATAATCTTTCTAAATGCTTACACAGTCTTTATTGAATAATTTCATAACCTTTTTGGTTTTTTTTTTTTTTTTTAAAATTTCACCCGCTTAAAGATTTGATCCTATCTGAAAATCTTAGGCTTAATTTTTCCTGTACTATCTTCTATTTTTCTCTCTCATACATTTCCATTCTTTGTTCCAACTTTTTTGTCTAATTTTTGATATTTTGAATTAAGTGTATAATATAAAATTTATTTGAGTAATTCTAACATCAATAAAAGCTCTTCAGAATTTTAAAATTTTTTCTGAACCTTCCCGCATTTCCCCAAAATATAGACATACGATGCCTAGTCGATATTTATAATAATAATAATATCCATTCATACATACTTGCCACTAGTGATGAGTGAAATTTAAATCTGTAAATGATAAATCCTTTCCCTCTTCCCAGCCTCTCTCCCTCTCTCTTTCTCCTCGTAAAGCGCCCGCACAGTAACATCTCTTCTTTCCACCATATTCAAGGTAAACCTGTTTTCGGATAATTTCTTTCGCACCATATAATTCATCTCAAACATAAAAACCAGTTCCAATAAATGGTGAGAGAGTAAGAAAGCTTTCCCCTAACAACAACAAGCATGAGATAATCGTGAGTCACGCTCATTAATGTCATTAATAATAACCTATAATCCATGTCAATTATTGAAAATTGTTTACCAAAAAAAGATTGAACTTTAACCTGTAATTCATGCCAATTATTAAAAATTGCTTATTAAAAAAAAAAGGCTTAACTTCAATTATCCAGATTTAAAATAACAAAATACTTCCGTAATAAGTGGAAATGTATATGTGCCTTGATAACAACTTCGTTCCTACTACCTGTACATTTTCAACATAGATACAATATTTTTAAATGTTTATCTCATTAATAATTAAAATAATGAAATATGAAAATTGAATGAAATCATTTTCTAAATGTTTCTGACTTGATGGTTGTAGCATGCTGCAGTCGTAACCACCAAGACCTTCTGGACAGCGACATCGATTGCAATTGTTCGGATCCGGATAACCTCCGGCTAAGCAATTTTGTAGGTGTCGTCGACCTGCACAAGCATCTGCAAACAAAATGAAATATGTTCAAATTTAGTTGAAGTTTAATTAGTGGTCGTTTAGAGTTAGTTTTTTGTTGTTCAATTTTACGAAGCACAATTGTCATATGTTGAAGATAGCATACTTGAGCAATAAATATCATTGATCACTTTAGCATCCAGGAAAGCCACTTTTTCGGTACCCATCGTCGTTACATACTTTAATTCTTTGGGAACAATAGTAAAATCAGATACACTAATGGCATGTGCCACAGCATGATAATGCATCAATGATCCGTAATCGTAAGGTATACGTCGAGGTGATATCTGAAGATAAAGAAGAAATTTTGAAAAAATCAAAAAAAAAACAAAACTGAAAACTGAAAAATTTCATATTGAAATTATTCTAAAATATTGAAAAGGAAGTCATTTAACGAAGTTTTCTTGCTGGTATCAAAAATTTTCGATGTGTCAAACACCTCCAATATGTTTATTCATTGGATAGCTTATCCGATCACCCTATATTTCTGATAATTAATTAGATAACAAATAAATTTTAAGGAACTTTTAAAACACTAAAATTATTTCCTTAAATGAATTTATCGTTTAATTTATTAAATGATGCATATTTTACTTTTTTTCAGATAGCGTATCTTTTTCTCATACAGCTTTACATTCAAACTGAATTAAATTTTAAGATTAAAAAAGCAAAATATATGCAAAAGGAATGAAAATAATTAAGCGAATAGAAATTAGAAATTTTACAAGTAAATCTTTTATTGGATTGAACAAAAATTTATCAGCATTTTTGATATATGCATATTTTTCTGATATAAAATATAAAATGAAAGCATTTGCTCTTTGACCAAGTGGTTTTGATCAAAATTTATTTGCATACCGTATCTAACATATTTATGTTTTATTAAATATATCTTTTAAAAATTTCAAAAAATATTGCTAACGATATGTTTATTTATAGCGAATATTTCGTTGATACGTAACATTCACGTCTTACACAGTATATTGTGTTTGTAATTTTCAACAAAAGAGTTTTTTTTTTTTTTTTAAAATAAATGTTGAGAATTTTTTGATCAGTGATAATTAATAGTATCCTAAGCATATTAATTAATTTTGAAATTCATAAGAAAGAAAATTTACTTGTCTGATGCCAAATGCTTGAAGCATAGTCCGAAATGGCATGAATGATGCTGTAGCTTCATCCATTACATTCTTCCAATTAATTGAAATATACTGATCCCTATCGGGACGTTGATGGGTATGCCAAAAGCCTAATGCATGTCCTGTCTCGTGCGCCACAACATATTCCTTTAGATATGATAAATAATATCCCATTGATTTATATTAAGGAAAAAATTGATATGTCATCAGCAAAACTACGAAGAATTTCTAATCATTATTATATATCACATTGGTGGCGCTATTGTCGCATACCACATTTAGCTGTAAATGCATTTTCGAGAAATCTTAATATTTCATTTTAGAATTATTTTATAAATTTTTTAAAGATTTTACTATTCGTATCACATATACTTCAAAATATCTTATCAACATTGGCAATAATTTCAACGTGTCATAACAATGTCCATCTCCTTATTTTTATCACATATGATCAAATATTCAAATTAATATCTTCAAATTAATTAATAGCATAGGGCGTTTATTTTTAATTTCACATCTGTTTATTCATCAGTTAATTCATTTTCAAAATCGGTTCTTAAAAAGAAATAATTGTTCGAGTTTGCTATGAAATTTTCACCACTACTCTTTACAATCGACTACAAAGAATTATTCAAACGATTTGAATGAGTTAACCTATCTCTCTTTTTCTCCCATCATTTATTATTTACTGCAATCCCAAACAAAAGTGATTGAAATTTCAAACTGGTGTTCTGAAACCAGCTTTCTAATGATACACGTACGCATAAATGCGTACACACACACACGCACACATACACACACACACACACACACATATAAACACATATATGTATATGATAAATGTAAGTATATGATGTTGACAGCGACGCAATTTTCATGCATTCATCAATTTTTGTGAATTTTTAGAAAATCTCAGTTTTTTTTATTTTTTTTAACTAAATGTGAACCGGAATATTTCATCAACTAATATAGTGGAAAGAATTGCTGTATGAACAAGCAATGCAAATAATTTTATGAAAAGCGAATCAAAAATTGTTGATGAGAATAAACTGAACAAAAATGAAAACTGAAAAAAAAACGAGTTTTTGATAAATTTGATTAAAAAAAAGAAAAACTTGTTACTTCGGCGCATTTACTTCCTATGATAATATCCTGATAACCACCATTTCGTCCAATATATTCTGTGAAACAACTATCACCTTTTTCAAGTACATACCTAATGCAAATAGTTTTTTTTTAATATCAATTATTTTAAATGACAAAACTAAACATCTGAATTGCACTTAATTAGATTAAACTAAATTAAAGTTAAAATTGTGGTGCAAAAAATATTGCAATTTCAAATAAGCATTTGAATTGATTGTTGTTAAGTTATTGGAGGAAGAAGAGAAATTATTTTGTAACAAATAATCTAATAAATGAAATAATAAATGAAAAAAGAATACCTGATAGCATCTCTTGCTTGTAAATTTTCCTGAAATCTCAGACATGTCACTTCTTCCCACATGCGTATTCCACGTCGAACAAGATTTCGAAAAGCATCTGAAATAATCATTTTAATTATTACCATTTA